AAACAATTAGTACAATTAGTGCAACTTTGGATAGAACGCTGATTTAAGGCTCTTCTAAGGAACACTTGAGACTGAGAATCCAGCCAGATGTGCAAAAAAGCTGGAAAAAGAGTGTTTCAGATAGAAAAGCATGTGGGAAAAAAATCCTAAGTCCAGAATAGCTGGAAGATAATGAAAGGGAAGAATGACTTGAACTACAGAAAGATACAGATCACACACTGATTTATATTTTGTTTCTAAGAACAACAGGAAGTCACTGAAGGATTTTAAACAAAAATGATGACAATTTGGTTTACATTAACAACAAACAAACAAGATAACTCCCGTATCTATATACACAATGAATCCAGAGGGGAACAAGAGCAGAAAGAAGGCTGCTGCGAAGTCACAGTAAGAGATGATGGTCTGTGCTGGGATGTGACAGATGAAGACAGGAAGAGAATCAGAATGTTTGAGGTACAACTGATAAGGCTATCAGTGGATTTAATGGGGGGGAGGAGATGAAGGAAAAAGAGCAATCAGGCATAAAAAACTGGGTTCCTGGCTTAAGCCAACTGGAAGAACAGTGATGTCACTGCAAAGAAAACAGGGAGAATGAATGGATCCAATTTTTCTACTCTTTAAACTCCCTATTACTTGCAATACTTCTGGAAGAATGAAATTAAAAGAGAACCTGGACCAATTAACTTAAAATTACTAAAAAGAAAAATAAGGAGATAGACATGAGAATGTACCCATCTCCCCCAATCAGGTATTAGGGTTCACTCTTTAAGATTATGGAGTTTACCTGAGAGAGAGAGAATGAGAGACAGAGAGCACGAGAGGGAAGAGGGTCAGAGGGAGAAGCAGAACCCCCCCGCTGAGCAGGGAGCCCGATGTGGGACTCGATCCCAGGACTCCAGGATCATGACCTGAGCCGAAGGCAGTCGCTTAACCAACTGAGTTTACTTGCTTCACTTAAGTTACTCAGCACCAAGTGGCTGACACTTCTGTTCTTCCAGTTATTTCAATTTATCACACATGTGAGCATTTTAAGCTTATATATACTCTATTAATTTTAATCATAACATTATTAGTTATTTCCTGTTACAAACTAAATTGTTCAAGAAAGGGTTCTTTGCAGTATATTTCAAGTAGTAGACCGTATCTCTCAGGTATCCAATCAGAGCGATGCAATTTCCTAGACTGTTAGAGACCATCATCATTATCTTGATAGTTCACGACAGTTCCAGATTTCAAGCAAGCTCCAAGTAAGAAAAAATGGAAGATGGGAGATGTTCAAAAAACAAATTCTAGAAACAAAACTTGGTGTCAAACATTTGACAAAGACTTTCTGAATATGTAACAACTCTCAAAAGCATTCACTGTAGCTTTCCAAGACAGCTTATTAATTTGATCAGCACAGTACTGTCAGACTAAAAGTCACGTGCCCCAACACTAGATGCTCTGATTGACCTTTTTAAGTACCTGAATTACACTGGTGACTTCCTACCCTTAAAATACCTTACTAAGTAGCCTGTTAGCGTCAAAAGACCCCTTCCAGGGGCCAGTGTGATTTCTGATCCAAAAATATGAAGACCACAGATTTCGGAATGAAAAACAAGATGAATCTGAGAAATGGATAAAGATAAGAGTCTTTTAAAAATACTTCATTCTCAGCTTTCAAATCTTTCACACTTAAGAATGAAGGTTTATTTTGTTGCGTTTTTTTTGGGGGGGGAAGCTGAAAGGTAGGAAAACAAGTTTATATGGAAAAGCTATTATTAAAAAATACAGGAAGATCATTTGGGATTTGTTTTGAAAGACAGTCTAGAAATAAAGGAGCAAGATTCTTTAAAACATGAAATTTTGATCCAAGCATTTTGGTCTAATCAAGATTTAAGGGTCCTAAACATGGACAGATTCCCAAAACTCTTAAGGAATGTTTTACAGAAATGTGATACACTGGGTAATTTAAACATTAATTCAAACAAATTAAGTGATCCAGTTCAGCATCTTCTCCTAGGCAATCTCCTAACTCTGAGGCTATAAACTTTTATTTTGTACTCTCTAATTCACTGGATGGTGCTAAAACCCAGCCCATTCTTACTCAGCTGCCTGTGACATTGGACGCTTTTCCCCCGTAAAACTCATTAAGTGAATATCCTCTGCGCTACTATCAATGCTATTTTTTCCTCTCTTAATTTGAGGATTGCACAGAACGCACATTCTCTCCCCAGAAGCTCCTTCTCTTAATCTAACATCAAAGCTTTCTCCAATAAGGACAGTTGACCCAAACATATAAAAGAAAATATGCTGCTGGGCAGAACACTTCCCTGGCTTTAAGGGTTTGTAAAAATAATACATCACATAATTTCCTGGCTTAGAAAAAAAAAATAACACAATGTCACAAAACTCTTAGATTTTTGGACAAGAATTTCATCAACTATAACTTACTCCAATCTAACAAAATTGTAGTCAATTATTAGGTGGAGAAAATACACAAAGTCTATGATAAAACCATTTAATACTCCAGTAAAATGTAAAACCTGCATAAGTATAGGACTAAAATTGCCTTAATAGTCTTTAATTTGTATTTTCTTCCTCTCATTTGTAAGTATCATTAACATATCAGTACGTCCTGAAATTCTTATAAACCCATCTGTCCTGTGAAGTGTGGCTGCAATACTTAAGGGACACTTTTGGCGGCCTTAAAGAAAAGAATATTTCCTGTAAGGTATTTTCTTGAATGCTATTTTAAAAAGCTGTTTCTCAGCTGTTCAAGATGACCAGCAATTTTTCCTTTCTGTAATGAGTAATTACGGAAATGAGTATTCTACACATAATTACAATCACCAAAGCTTCACGTGAAATATCCCTTAGGTATAACATTTTAAAAGGGGGTGGGGGCAGCAGAGAATATTCTTTCCCATGTTATCATGTGAGTAAAGTTCTTTCTTAATGACTATTTTTGAGTCATGCCAGTAGTGCCATTCCTTAACATAATACAATTATACCTGGATGTAAATGGGAAACAGCTCTTTTACATGACAAGATTTACTCTATTAAAAACTACAGACTAAGGGCGCTGGCTGGCTCAGTTGGTTGAGCTTGCGACTCTTGGTCTTGAGGTTGTGAGTTCAAGCCCCACGTTCGGTGTAGAGATTACTTAAAAATAAAATCTTAAAAAACAAAGAAAACCACACAAAACCCCAAACCCCGAATAGGCTACAAGTGAGGGACTCCCCCAATTTCAACTAAAGAACCCAAGTCACACCTTAAGCCAAATTTAGTGATCTATAAAATACCCTAAGCGAATTAGAACTTCTCAATTTCTTCTGATCCCACATTAACCTACTGAAAACTACACATCAGCATTACAACACTGAGAAAAAGAAACCAAAACAAATGCAGAACCAGAATCTGAAGAAACTGTTTATCACGCTGTCACATCTAATGTTAAAATTGCAACATTATAAAATGCTTTTAAAAAGGAGAAAGAACTTAAAGATTCCTATCAGTGGCATGTTTCAAACTCATGTGGTAGCAGCCTACTATTCTCTGTATCCTAGTTAACAACATAATCATGTAAAGTCTAGCAATTACTACTTTAAAAAAGAAAAGCCTTTACTTTTGATCTTTACTAAATTGCTACTAAATTTTAAGAGTAATGTGATGAACTGAAAACTCAACCACTTAATTACTGTATTACTAATTCTGGAATTTACACACAAAAGTGGTGACATCAGAACACATCAGGTTCCAAAACCAATTCCAACATTAAAGACTGGCTAGATTAAATCCTTAAAAAATACTTAAGTGAGGATCCCTTCTCCAAAACACAGGCAACTCCAAAATAAAAATAAATTAAGTACACAAAGACAGGAAGAAAAGGAGTACATAAAACCTGCCAATAAACCCCACACCGTTGTCAGGTTAGAAAGTTAAGAGAAGTATCTCTACTGCTGCTTTAACAAGAAGCCTCCATATGCTCTCCTCCCCTCCTTCTGATAAAAAACAAGCTCGGGGCGCCTGGGTGGCTCAGTCGTTAAGTGTTCGCCTTCAGCTCAGGTCATGATCCCAGGGTCCTGGGATCGAGCCCCGCATCGCGCTCCCCTCTCTGCGGGAAGCCTGCTTCTCCTTCTCCCACCCCCCTGCTTGTGTTCCCTCTCTCGCTGTGTCTCTGTCAAATACATAAAATCTTAAAAAAAAAAAAAAAAAAAAAGCTCGAAAACGCCACAAGGCAAGAATACCAAGAACCTGGATAACACCCCTCACCGTCTCCCACTGAAATCTTCATTTTAAATAACATTTGAGAAGAATCATCAGACTTCCACGTTTTCAGATTAGCCCGTTACCGATGATCCCACGTACGCAGACATCAAATAAACCAGTTAAGCTCCCAGGCCGACCGCTGCAACCCTGGGGTCTCAATAAAAGTTGTATCAAAAGTATTAGAATGAACCGTCCCACAAGAGACGTAATGGCGGTTAGCCTTCTGCCAGGCAACCAGTATCTAGCACAACTAATATCTATCTTCAACCAGCAAGTATCTGGAGCCCAGGTGGCCCTTACCTTCTTTCGTCTGCGCGTTGGTGATCTGCAGGTCGCAGTCGGCAGCTTTCAACTTTTCTCTCCCCATAATCTGCTTCTTTAAATCGCAGAGGGAGATGTGGAGCCCATCAAAGGTGACGGTATCATAGTTGAGTTTAGAGGAAAATTTATAATGCACACAGGACATGGTGCCAAAGGATTCCTAAGGTTCAGCGAGGAGACGTGGACACTCTCAATATATGTATATTTATAAACTTAAGAGCAAAATATGTACACACACAAAACACTCAAAAGACACCGAAGGACCCTAAGGCCTCAGATTAAATACCCCCCCAACCACAAGCAGGGGTTCGTAAAAACAGTAATCCAGAACCCCCCCGTCCCCCCCGATACTCAGAAGCACTTCATACGGGAGGAAGCGGACGAGGACGGGAAAAGGGGAAATCGAGAATCCGCCAACGGGCACAATGTCACCCGGCTGGGTCCCCCTCGCTCATGCTAAGGGCCGGCAGGAGACGGGGGGCAGGCGGTGCAGTCAGTAGCGGTCAGTCCACACGTTAGAGTCCGAATGACCCCGCGGGGTCAGGGGTCCATAGCGCGGCCGCACCTCCCGGTTGGTCTCTCTTTCCGTGGATTGGGGTGACCCAGGCCCCGGGAGAAGGTTGGGGGAGAGGGCCTAGGCCCGGAGTCCACGAGCGGCCTCTCGCCTCCTCCTGGCTTCCGGACGACCGGCGTCAGCTTCCCCAGGCCCAGGCCCCCCCACACACAAACCCCTGTCGCCTGCTCCCCGGAGGCCACGAGCGGCCCGCGGCCTAGGCCAAAAACGCGCGGTCGGCGGAGGAGAGGCCTTCCCGCAGGCCGCCCCCGGCTCCGCCTCCCCCCCGCCGCCGCCGCCGCCGCCGCCTCAGACACAAAGCCGGTACTAGGCCTCAACTAGGCCTCGAAGCACTTCCTCACCACCCCGGGCCCCAGCCAGCGGCCGGGTGGCTTTGGCGGACCCTGGGGACGCCGCCGAGGCTCCCCGACGCTTCCTCTCGCCGTGTGCTCCGCGCTTCTCTCGCCTTTCGCTCCCGTCGCCTTTCGGCCCCGAACCGCGAGAGGAGGCCCGGAAACCGCCGGGCAACGGCAAGGGCTTCGGGGCTCTCTTTTTGTTTTGCCCCCCTGCCGCTCTCGGGCCCTCACCCAGCGCCGGCGACACCTCCAAGCCAGGCACTATGGCGGACGCGGCCTGGCTTCGGGCGAGCGCCCCACTCCGGGGTCTCTTAAGCAGGGATTGCACGGGCGGCGCGCGCGAGGCGGGGCTGGCGTGCGCGGATAGGCGGGCCGGGAGGCGGGGCCCGCGGCGTCACAAAGCGCACCGGCCCGCCCACGTGACCTCGCGCTTTGTGACTCGGAGCGCGGAACCTGAACCAGCCCGGAGAACGAAGGAACCATCTGTCTCAAGAGGAAGGGGGCGCTGCACGGAGGGCCAGCTCACCCGGCGGCTCCGGAGAGGGGTGTGTGTGTGTGGGGGGGAAGCTCGGATTTCAGCTGCTACGGTGCTTGTTAGTCTCCGCGGCAAAGTGGGGTGCCCAGGGGTGGCCGGCTAACTCCCCTTCTCCGCAATCCCCACCAACTCCCGCAGTTCAAGTAAACATTATAGTTGCTATGCAGTGCCCCCTAGCCTCCCCTTCCAACAAACCGGCTACCTTCAGCTCTAAGTGGAAATTCTGGAGCAGCCCCCTGGCTAGAACTGACAAAACCACCACTATAAAGATTTATTGAGTCCTTACTATGTGCTAGGCACAGGGCTGAGCCCTTTGTAACACTGAAAGGCTCTGGAGCCCAGTTGTGGTGGTTGGAACCCTAGCTGCGGGGGTCAAGATTTAACTCCTCCGTGCCTCGGTTTCCTTGGCTGTAAAAGTGCAGTTTAAAATTGTACTCGGGGGCGCCTGGGTGGCTCAGATGGTTGGGCGTCTGCCTTCGGCTCAGGTCATGATCCCAGCGTCGTGGGATCGAGTCCCGCATCGGGCTCCCTGCTCCTTGGGAGCCTGCTTCTCCCCCTGCCTCTCTCTCACTCTCTCTCTCTCTCTCTGTCTCTCATGAATAAATAAATAAATAAAAAATCTTAAAAAAATAAAATAAAATAAAATTGTACTCGGTCTACGGGGTTGTTATGGATTAGATAAATGAATATGTTTCCGTTGTTTAGGACTGTGCCTGGCATATGGTTCAATGTGTCTCACATGTAGCTCAATAAATGTCTTTTTAACATCAAAAAAACAAAACAAAAAACAAAACCCTAAGTGGTCAGCACGACCATTACCTCGGATTTATAGATGAGGGAACGAAGCTAGCAATCGAGAACTTTCTGAATTCTCAGAATCAGGGGGATGCCTGCTTTATAGCGGGGTCCGAAATCCCATTTCTAACTGTAAAGGAAGGGAACTGTGCCAAGACCCCCCCTCGGTAGATTGGAGATTATTTTTTCCTTGGGGCATGGGGAAGTTATTATAACATCCATGAAATTCATGCTATACAAAATTGCATTCATAAACTGTAATAGTCACTATAACTTACAGTGCATTTTCCTCATCCTCTCTGGATTGTTACTGGCCCGGGCTCAGAGAAGTTAGTCCCTGAGAACAAGATCACACAGCCGTGATGGGGCAGTTTGCCAGGGGCCCCCTAAATACATACACCCAATCCTTGCAGAAGGTGGTTTAAGTAGATCATCATCTTGTCAGGAATGTCTTCCTAGGGCGATTTTATCCAAATAGGATGGCCATCATTCTATCTCTTCCTCTTTTTTATTTTCTTCCAAGCGTTTGTTACTATTTGACATGGTATATATTTACTTTTTAATTTTCTGTTTCCCCCCACAGCTGAGAAGAGGGATTTTTCTCTTTTGGTCATGCCGTATCCCCAGCTCTTATACAACCCCAGCCTGGACATAGTAAGCACTCAATAAATGTGTTGAATAAATACATTTTTATGTGATCTATAGAAATACCGTGGCAGTAAGATTTTGGCAAATCAAGGCAGCCCGAGAGACACAAATACGATTTAACTCAGCCACATCATTAGCATCAGTGCTTTTCACATATAACAAATTTCTCCTACCTTTATCTTTGGTAACTGACCAAAATTTTCTCACTCTTGGGTCCACTTCAGAATGGCTGCTTTTCTTGAAAAACCTGTATGAACCAAGGGGGGGGAAATTACATCTAACAAAAGAAAAGGTGGACAGGAAAACGAGGTATTGTATGGGTATTCACACCTCTAAAGTGGTAAATCTAGGGCGCCTGGGTGGCTCAGTTCGTTAAGCAACTGCCTTCGGCTCAGGTCATGATCCTGGAGTCCCGGGATCGAGTCCCACATCGGGCTCCCTGCTCAGCAGTGAGTCTGCTTCTCCCTCGGACCCTCCCCCTTCTCATGCTCTCTCTCTCTCTCTCATTCTCTCTCTCAAATAAATAAATAAATAATCTTTTAAAAAATAAAAAAAATAAAGTGGTAAATCTATACTCTTTCACCGGTCTTTGGCCTATCCCTTCACACTTCATTCAGTGCTAATTTAACCAACCTGATGGGACTCAAAGGAGGCCACATCCTCAGGATAGAGTGGATTAGAAACCTGCCAGAGATGAGTATGTCTCCTTGGAAAGAATATAGTCAGTGTTATGATTTGGTCCAATGGTTCTCCTCAGCCAAGAACCCTTTACAATGCTTTTGGAGACCTCACTCTGTATCACATTGAACAGGTCAAGATTCACCCACAGCCCGCATAAAATGCGCTTGTGATGGGATTTAATTCCGTTGCTTGCCTAATTGACAAAATGTTACATTTGGTTCATTTCATGAAATTCCTTAACAAATCTCAACTTTGTAAACTTCTGTTGGTAATATGGAGCTGCTCTCCCAGCCACTTCTCCCCTCACCCACCCCGATATTCGCGTAAGCCCTGGCAAAGCCTTTTGTACTGTACCTACCTTTCCAAACTTATTGTATGTAGCAACTCCAGAGTTCCCACCTCCTAGAATTTTAACCTTTGTCACTCTCAAACTCATTGTACCCTCACATCCCCACCGAACACATACATCTAGTAGATCCCCTACCTTATTTTAGTATGCCAATATTTCAGTTTCAGAGAACAGAATTGGGAGACCCAAGAAAGTCTGCCAGTCCCCTACAGGGTACTTGTGTTACTATCCAGGCTCTGGAGGTTAGAATGAGACCTACCAGGCTGCTATATACTCTTATAATCTAATCCCACCAAGTGCCCCAACAGCAGGCACATCACCAGATTCTGAGTCTGGCCTCTGTGTTCTCAGCCCAAATTCACAAAAGATAGATAGATCCTTTATATCACTGACGTATCTTCCCCAGAGGGGAGATGGGGATCAATGGGATCCCCTGTGATCACTGGGGGGTTTGCAACAGTAATTTTGGAAAACGATCTGGCATCCTCTTGCAAATTTGAGCGTTCCTATACCCTATGAATCAGTCATTGCACTCCTGGTTATATATACCCAAGGCAAAATTTAACTCATGTAGTTGCATGAGAATTTCATGGGAGCTCTCTTCTCAGGAGCAAAAAGCTGAAACAACCCAAATGCCCTTGAGAGGGGAAGGAGTGAATACATGCTGGTCTATCCAGACAGTGAAGTATAATGCGATAGTGAAAATAAATAAAATAACAGTAGGTGTAACGACATGGCAATGTGATCTTTTTAGCTGTTCTGGAGTCAGAAAAGCAAGTCTCAGAAGCTGACATACCCCTCCTATGAATTTCAGAAACAACTCAAAGCAAACAATGCATTATTTAGGGAGGCATACAAATGTTAATGCACCTAGGGGCGCCTGGGTGGCTCAGTTGGTTGAGCGACTGCCTTCGACTCGGGTCATGATCCCGGAGTCCCGGGATCGAGTTCCGGGATCGAGTCCCGCATCGGGGTCCCTGCTCAGTGAGGAGCTTGCTTCTCCCTCTAATCCTCCCCCCTCTCATGTACTCTCTCTCTCTTTCTCGCTCTCTCAAATAAATAATCTTTTAAAAAAAAACACACACAAATGTTAATGCACCTGAACACTGGCAACCGGGAGACACAACATTCAGGACAGTGGTTACCTCTGAGATGGAAGGATGAGACCGGTGAGGAGCCCAGAGGAGATAGGAGTTACCAGCAGTGACCTAGTTCTTGGGTGGGTTCCCATGTAGTCATTAGTGTACTGAAAATGGACAAATAAAGAATACTTAAACTAAAAGGGGATCATGTACAGAACAATAAGAGGTTGTGAGATTAGGAGTATGATTCATCCATTGATATGTGCCTGAGGTTTCATCTCTCCTTTCTTTTCACTGCCAGCAAAGACTCTCACGGTCAGACAGAAAAAAATGAAATCCCTTTCAGAGCAACAAAACATATAGGCTAGTTCCCTAAACTCTTTTGCAGCACTGAATGCTGTAACTGTAAATAAAACTCTTTTACAGTTTGGTTCTAGTTTTCTTGTGTTGAGATCAGGGAGGGGACTTAGCCATCAGACTTTTGGGGATCTGGGGCCAGAACATGCTACCAGTGACCTCTCTTTATCCAGTGACTTCTTTTTTTTTTTTTTTTTTAAGATTTTATTTATTTATTTGACAGAGAGAGACACAGCGAGAGAGGGAACACAAGCAGGGGGAGTAGAAGAGGCAGAAGCAGGCTTCCTGCAGAGCAGGGAGCCCAACGCAGGGCTCGATCCCAGGACCCTGGGATCATGACCTGAGCCGAAGGCGGACGCTTAACAACTGAGCCACCCAGGCGCCCTTCTTTTTTTATTTTTAAGATTTTATTTATTTATTTGCGAGAGAGACAGAGATAGCGACAGAGATAAAGAAAGCATGAGCAGGGAGGAGAGAAGGGAAGCCCTGATGTGGGGCTCAATCCCAGGACTCTTGGGGCTTGATCCCAGGACCCTCAGGGCTCGATCCCAGGATCTCAGGATCACAACCTGAACTGAAGGCGGACACTTGGCAGAATGATCCACCCAGGCGCCCCTATCCAGTGACTTCTAATTCCACTCCACGGGTGAAGGTGGGACTCGAAACCAGGAATGTTTTGAAGAGGAGAGGACTCGTAAAAATGCCAGGGGACGTTATACATAGAAAGACACGCGCCACACTTGCTTCTCCTAGAAATCCAAGGGCTCTAGGTAAACACAAAGGAGGAAGAGGAATGGGAATGCTATTGTGCCAGAGCACAGATCCTTGGACAAAGCCCTTCTCTCTCAGGTGAATGTGACCGATTTATTCATTCCCTCAGATATGAACTATGTAATGAATGACCAAGGGCACCAGGCACTATGCTGGTTGCTGGCCACTCTGCGGTGAACAAATCAAAACCCCTGCCTGCAGGGAGTTTACGATAAGTAAATGATTTCAGAGACTCCAAAACTTGCTGTGTGACTTTGGGAAAGTAACTTACCTTCTCTGGCCCCTGGTTTCCTCCAGGGCCTATTTCATGGGTCCTGTGTGATTGTGCTTGATGTAGTGCTCTGCTGTGATCATCTTGACCATTCCTCATAATTTTCATTTTCATTTTGCACCGAGTCCCACAAACTATGTAGCTGATCT